CATGCTCGCACTCATACACACATATTCACTCACACCCAGAGATATGCTCACACACACTTGCACATGCTCATACATGCACTAACACACATGCTCACACACTCGTTCATACACGCCACATACACTCTCACCATCCACACACACACTCGCTCACAGACTCACACCCGCTCCACAGACTCACAGTCATACACACCCACATTCACACATTTACTGACACCCACAGACACACTCACATTCACACACGCACACTCTAACTTGCACATTCACACTTGTACATGCTCATACATGCACTCACACACATATGCTCACATACATGCTCACGAGTTCACACACGCCACATGCACTGTCACCCGTCCACACACACTCTGACACACACAGCCCCTCACACACGCTCACTCTTACACAGCCCTCGAATGTGCTCACGCCCTCCTTGCACAGCCGGGCTCCCCCCACCCCGGGGCAGCGGCTGCTCCTGCGCCTGCGCAGCAAAGGCCGGGGGGCGGGGCCAGGCCTCCGTGGCAGCCTCCGCAGACCTGCCAGGAGGCCCGGACGTTGTGCTGGGAACCAGGAGGACACGCTTTCCATTTGTCGTTTTCCTATGAAAACCTGCCAGCCCTCTGCCCTCTGCCCTCTGCCCTCTGCCCTCGGCCGAGAGCTTCTTGGGGTGGAAGGACAGGTGGCGGCACCAGCCCCTGCAGTGGGACATCTCACCGCTTGGCCCCGCCTTCTGGCCCCCCAGGGCTGGCCCACCCCCTGCCCCACCCCCACTCGCATCCTCCCCTCGCAGCTACCCCTGCGTGGCCTCAGACCTCGCTCAGGGTGTCACCGCCTAGTGGGCCTCAGGAGCACGCCGTCCCCAGCGCTGCAAACCCTTCTGCGCATGTGCCAGGGACGCTAGTCCGCCCATCTCCGGCCGGGTTTCGGTCCAGCTGGGGCCCTGCGGGGGCGGGGCTGCCCCGGGGCCCAGCACACCTGCGGGACGGTGGTGCTCAGCAGGTGCACGAGCGTGTGGTGGCCGAGACGGGGTCCCGACCGGCTGGCGCGCAGTGCCAGCCCCTGGCTGTGCCGGGGAGGCCACGCTGCCCACGCCTTGCTGACCTGCCGTGGCCTGCGCTCCACCGGGCCTGGGAAACCGGGGCTAACACAGGCCCCCCTGCCACTGGGCATGACATTTCATAAAAAAAAAAAAAAAAAAAAAACCCACACACAAGTCCACAGGCAAAAAAAAGGGGAGGAAAAAGCCTATTCAGGTGCTCGAAAAACGTACGACCAGGGAAATACTTTTTCAGCAGTGTGTGCTCCAGGGTCCCCTCTGGATAAATGGGCGCCTTCTGTCTCCTGCCCAGCCAGAAAACCCACCATTTATCCACGAAGCCGTCTCGTATCAGCAGCCTCACGTCCGTAGGCCTGGAAAGCCCGAGCCCTCCCCGGCGGCTTTGACATTTTTAAACATTTAGGCCAGTGCACTGCGTGAGATTTTTAGGACGGGGAGCCCCAGACTCGCCTCAGGATGCCCCGTGGGCGACCTTTCGCGCTCCGTGCCGTGGGATGGGGAGGCCCCCACACACCACCTGCACCTGGCGGGCTGCGCGCCTGGCCGAGGCGTCCACCAGGGAAATAAAACCCAGGGCAGGGTGGGGCTCCACGCCACGGCTGCTGTTGGGTCGGGCCCTGGCTGCACCGCCACTCCACGATGTTTCAGAGCGCTGTGGCGCGCAGGTTGTCCCCTAGAAGCCCAGGCAAAATGCGCCCAGGTAGAACCTCCTCCTCCAGGGCGAGCTGGGAGGTCACCGGATCCGACGGGGCAGGTAACGCCTGCTCCCTGGGCAGCGACCCAGCCCACCCCACCTTGGCCATCGCCCTTGGGGCTGGGCCCCAGCCGGCAGCGTGGGGGCTTTGCAGCTCCTCCTCATCACACAGAGCCCACACATGGGGGCCCATGGAACAAAACCCTCTGCCATGGATCTTGGGGGGGGGTGTGATTCTTCTGGCCGCCTGGTCGTGTGGGATGACGAACGTCACCATGGCCTGCTGCGGCCCGGGGTGACCTCCCACTTTACAGATAGGAAACGAGCCCAGAGCCCGCCTGTCCAGGATCAGGGCTGGTGCAGGGCAGAGCGGTGACCTCGACGAAACAACCACAACGATCCGTCAAGACTAGAGGACACAACCCGCCAAAACACCGAGTATGAGTGGACACACTCTCCACCAAGAAACACCAGGTACACCCACAGTGAGGCTTCAGGTTCCTTCCCCCTCCTGACCCCCTGGGCAGGGGTGCCCGGCCCGGATCCGCCCCCGTTGGGTCCCCCGCTAGGCCCCAGCCCGCCAGCTCTCTCCTCTTGCCTCACTGCACATCCAGGGGCCGCTCAGCCCCGTCCCCCACGGCCTCTACGCTCCAGCGACCCCCTCATGGGCAGATCGGGGGCCGTGGCGGGTGGCCGGCCGGAGCGCCTGGGCGGGGGTCATGGGGAGGCGTACCCTCACCTGCGAAACCACGGTGCCTCAGCCGCGGAACGGTCCCGGTCGGCACGGATGGGAGGCCGTCCACCCACAGCCTTGGTTCATCAGCGACTTGTGAGATTCTAGACAGGCAGAGGCCTCACACCCTGCTGCGGAGTTCGTTTCATAGACAATGCCGGTCTTTATTTCCATTAAAACCCCTCCCCCTTGCTTCCGAGAATAGATGCTTGTTCGGCACACATCACGAGTGGAAAACACCCTGTCCTCCCTGATGCGACCGTCGAACTTTTGTGAAAATACAAAGAGGCTCGGCGAGAGCCCAAGGCATTGCAGGGACGCCTCGAAG